CAGTTTAAATCAAGAAAGATCAAAGGTTTTAACTACGAAATGGCATGGCCTAGGATATAAAAACATGCTGAACCTTTTATGTCGCGTTGTTCATTATGATGTGTTGCTAATTACTTCATTCTTTCACGGTGCGAAGTGTGTTCAGAAAATGAGTTAGAGGGGAGTGCAGTATATCCTTTCAAACCAGCCTGGCACCAGTAACCATGAGACAGGGAGCTGGAAGTATTTTCGTCATCTTGAAAAATGCTAGGTGTAAATCAGAACTACAGGCAGAAAATGAATATCAAAAAAGATATAAGATAAGTAAGCCTTTCTTGCATAAGCATATTTATTTCTAAGATAACTCATTTTCGAACAATAGATAGAGCCGTTCACATGTGCAAAAACACTTCTTTGTCGAATACGAGAGGTTTAAGGTACAATACAAGTGTTCGACATGAGACATACAGATGGAATCACTCAAGCGATATAACCAGAGAATGCCATGCATGTATCGTTGATGAAGATTTGGCGACGTCAATCGCTGAATTAGACCAGTTTGACAGAGAGTGACAGAAGATTATCCACATTGATTGCTTATTATCACCTGGAGCTAAGATGTGGAAATTGGTTGGAAGAACTAATAATATAACCAGCTGTACCATTCATTTTACACAGAATACAAGTTAAATTTAATTATTATTGCTTTAATGCTGTGACTGTACTTTTTTATTCGCGTTGCACGGGGCTAGGAAATCAATTCGCGACCCGTTTTCTTGAATAAAATAGATTTACTTATAAAGCTATCTAATAAGACATCCACAAAGCATAAAATAACATTCCGAACATCTCAACTTCGCTAGTAAAAGTACTGAATCTCTTTCCTGGTCCGCTAAGGGCTTCTACCGTAGCCACACAGCCTTGGTTCGTGGCCTGAATCTCGTTTTTAGAACATGATTGGGATTAGAGTCACACTTTACTCGTTGAAATTTATTCTCTTTAGGAAATGTATGGTGTTGCCTGACTGGCTAAAAGGGTATTCCTGATTCAAAAGCGATGGATATGTGGCGATGGGCATCAGAAAACAATGACTAATGAAAGTTGGGTCAACACCATGGGGTGTACAGGCATTCAAGTGATTCTGAAACACTAGCCCGATTCAGGATATGCGAAATGAGGAAGTAGTCCTTTTCAGAATACGTGAAAGGAGACACTAGATTGGTATGTAGCGGAATATATAGACCAGATTGG